CGGTTCTCTCTCGGATTGCTCCAAATGAGACGTCAAGCGAGACGATGAAGCGGCAGCAGCGGCAGATAATATAAAGAATTTCCCTCAGAACAGCTGGGTGACTCAACCCAACATAATTTCATGTTTTCTTTCCTGCATTCGTGAAGCTTCACATTATTCCTTTCATCCTCGGTTGTGTTTACCTTTGCTTCAAAGAGCAAGTGCTCATATTTCTGTTGCTCAGACTATACACCACAGCATGCGGTGATTAAACAACCTCTCCTCTCGCAAACTCAGATCGGAGGAGACGATGAAAAGATGCCAACAGAGTAAAACATTCCTTATCCGACAGCACAGAAAGTGTCCCTTTCTCTGCTGTATATGTATTTCATATTAATATTGTCTCTCATTTGGCTGACATGCCCCTTTAAATTGGGATGGAGTGAATTAATTAATAAACATGACAAACCTCAAATTTTCTAATATGGACATCTGAACTAGCTTTTAACTGAAGTAATGGGCTCAACCAGGGACTGCGCTTTACCCTGAGCAATGGGGGAGAGCAGGATTTTCTTAAATATGTAGAATAAGTAACATTTAAACTCTCATTCTTAAATTATTTTGCAAAATGTTTAACCATAGAGTTGTTTTCACCAGATTTCATGGCTGATATTTACATTTAGGACACTGGATAAAAGGTATTTGTTAGATGATTGTTTTGCTTAAGGATTTTTTTCCATTGACCACAATTTCTGTCCATTCACAAAAAAAGCTTTCATAAATACTATCTATCTTGACAAGGAACTGCTTTTCTTTTAAGTGTTTAAAGTGGAAAAAAAGAAGAATGGCTACATAAATAAACCATCCTGGCTAAAAGACACAAATATGAGAGATTAGATATGACAACTGAATGAAAGTCAGGTTTAAATTGCCACCATACAACATTTTCAAAATACCAGTTAAGCCTTTTGCATTCCATTACAAATAAAACACCTGATTACAGTTTCATCACTCCCCTAAGCAGCATTTGAATAGTGGAGCCCATATTTGGACAGTGAGGGGAACCGGAACTGCAGGAGCTTCCTAGTTTTCCTCATCACCATGCCCATATATAGTACACGGAAGATACACATTGTCCTTTTCAGTCATGATGACATCACCGACACACCATTTTTGGGCTGCGGATCGAGTGTCGTATTCCGTCTCTCGTCCATCGGAGCGTCTCCGGTCGAGGCGTTTTATTGAGTCTATTTTTGGAAACGTGTGCAGAGTCGGCATGTTCTCCCAGGGCTGCGTGAGCTCCCACATCAATGCGGGGGCGTTTGCAGACACAGAGTGGAGTAGTGAAAGAGGAGCGGCTGAGTGGGATGACACTCCACTCTGCAGCAGTGGAATAGCTCCTTTCTCTGCATAGCGCCTCGTGAAAGCAGAGCAGTTGGTCAAACTAGTGCAGAGTAGCTCTGAAACAGAGGCATCACATCCTCTTCCTGTGCCAGTTTCTCGTGCCGGTGAGGCTGAAGTGGAGAACTCCACTCCTGATAAACCAGCATCCCCACTAAGGACATATATATGGTTTGACACCTTGAATCAAATAGTAAACAAATTAATTTCTCTTCATTATTCTAGTGTAGCATGCAAACTGTTTAATGGTGAACCTGGATAAAAGTGAGATTATTTTACTTCATTATTCAGCTTCCCTGTTTTTTTCTACCAGTCAACATTTTTGAGAAATTTGGCTTCACCTTACCTACAATTTGTTCTCACCATCTAAATGATGCCGTAAGTTTCTTTTTTTATTAATTAATTTAGTTGGACACATTGTAAATTCTTGTGTTATACAACTAAACTGCAATCACAAGGTTGAAGATTAAATTTATAATTTAATCCAACACACCTACAAGAACCATTTAAATCTATTTTTACTATCTTTTATTATTTAAACTGTTTAAAGAAAATTGCTATCGATGTTCAGAAATCAGCTGGTGACAACCTGATCATAAATGCAAAAATATGATCTTTTCCAATGATTATGTCTCCATAAGCCCAATCGGGTCACGCTAAGAACAACCCTCTTTAGTGTGGAGGTTGATACTGAAGAAATAAAGACATTGCAAGTCAAAGGAGAAACAAAAGTAATAAAAAAATAAATAAATAAAAAACGTTGAAATCGGGAACTGTATGTCCTACAGAAATGGTCTGATTAATACAACGAGCTAGACTTTGACAGAGACTATAGACTTTTAGCGCTGTTCTTTACAACAGCTATCAATCGATGAGTAAATGGGCCCTCCCTCCAATATCCATAATGACAACTCATAACAGAAAGATGGAAAGATGTGTTGCTGAACCCTGTTGATTACGGATCTAAAAGAACAATATAGTCTGCACAGCTCTATAAACCACAGTTCATCCATTTCTCCGGGGACGATGCTCTTTATTGAGATTTAATTTGACAAAACCCAACACCTCCTCTCATAATGTCATCCAGTCACATGGAGCTCCCCATCCTCTGTCCACGTGCAAATGCCATTAGCTGTTCATCACAAAACTCTGACTAATTTCATTGTTTCATGATGACGTGGCAGAATATTTCTGGAAAGATTCAGGCAGTCTGCAGTCCAGTCATCCCTGTGCAATAAGCCATGACAGTCTGAATTACATTAATTAAAATCCTAAAAGTGGTCGACCCCAAATCATCTGCATTCAATCCACATCAAATGCAAAGTGTGAGACAAAGCTCTGGAAAAAAGGTGATTATTCCTTCCCAGCGCATTCAGTGGCCGTCGCTCTGATCCCAGTGACCAAACTTCAGCTCGCCTCACACCCACGTCTTGACACACACAAAGCCACAATCCTTGTTATCTGCTAATTAATAGGCTGCCAGGCTTGAAAACGTTTTCAAATAATCCAAGAACAAAGCGTTCAGTGTTTCCTGACCTCTTCTATAGCAATGCAGAGAGAAATCCTGGAGTTTACAAAGCCACCAGCACAGCGTCTCTTTGTGATGGAAAAGACTGAGGGATGCTGATTACATTGAGTTATTGAACTGAACAAATCAGGAGGAAAAAAAAAACTGGAAATTATATTTCATCAGTTCTCCTTACCTACCAATAAATCACCTGATGTTTGGCTGCATGCATTGATATTCTGTTATGATTCTAGACTGTCAGATGCTCGCGAGGTAATAATGTGTTGATTAACGATCAATTTTATATTCTAATAAAAGACGTACTGTGATCTCTGGGACAGATTATGTGTAGATTAGGAATGAGCACTTTCATTTGCATCCAATCAAGAGTCATGTCCGCTCTGAATACCTAAAAGCCACTATGCCGAGTTAACAGAACAAGCCAAAGTATCCGTCCCTGCCGCTGCTCTCAGCACTACTGATACATGAGGACAGCATCAATCCATTCTGCTCCGTCTTTTCACTGAAGGCGGAGGGAGGTTCTGCAGAGTTTAATGGAGCGGCTGAGTCATGTTTAAGCTGCCAGAAGAACAGAAAAGAAGTCAAGAAGGCCACATCAAACAACCCCTCCACACGAACACACAGTCATGCGATGCAGAAAACATGGAAGCAAAGCAACAAAGCTGATGGAAATGGGGACAACATGGATGACTGATGGGGAGTTTGGACCCAAAACAACATGCAAGTATTCAAAATAGTCACTGTGCTGAACAGGAACCACAAAAAGCTTATTTTTCTGTAAACTTCCACTCGCATTAAAACGGCATAAATCTAAAGGTTACATCACAAACTTCATAAAAGGCAAATGTTTAAACACAAAAATTTTTCCTTTTCACTGCGTTTTAAGTAGGCTGCCATCAATTGAGGGCGTAGGTGTTTGGCTCAAATACACTACAGTGATAAAAAGAAGATCACTGGGAATAATAATAAAGCTGAATCAGACTCGAGGGGGAAAAAAAGCTTTTAATACTGTTAAATTGGGCATAAAAGCTCCACTGAGCATCCACACTAAAATAGGTGGCATATTGAAATGAAATGAAGCTTCAAAGAAAGAGCTCAAAAGAATGAAAACAGCTCCCCCTTTTAAATATTGAATCCAGCTGCTATATCCTCTCACACATCTCATATATCCATTTTATTCTCCTCTTAGCCTTCACTTCTCTGTGGCTAAATTATGTCAAACTGAGAAATAAATAAGAACTTGCATCAACTCCAAAGGGTTTGCGCACTTCCTGCCATTTTGGGGCATCTATACTAAAAAAAGATGTTCCCGGCTGCGCATATGCAACTTGTTGCCACAGCCCCCAACAACACCAAAGCAACGTCCCTACTGAGCAAGCAGAACCAGACCTGATCCAACCGAAACCAGACAACACACTGTGTGAGAGCGGAGTGACTGTAGCTGCGTTTCCATTACAAATACGCGCAAAACTGTCGATAAATGTTTTTTTAAAAAAAGTTCTCCATTAAGTAACGCAAATGAAGTCACATGTAAATAAGATTGCTCACACAATAAAACATGCCGCACCGTCATCCTCCCATCACGTTGCCGTATTCTTTGTCGTTTTTGCCAGTAGTAACTACCTACTATTGATTTATGACTCATGATGCAAAAAAAAAGTGATTCCATTGTAGTTTTGCGAAATAAACTAATTTAGGTGCAATCAAAAACACTCAACTCATCCCAACATTTTTAATGAAACTGATACGTTTCCATTACTTTTTTTCGCAATTCCAATTAGCGCAATTATATAATGAATGGAAACGCAGCTAATGAGAGATTGCTGCTAAAATCAGATGGTTATACTAATGTTGATATTTGAACATGTGCAAGTGTGAATGAAACGAGATGAGAAATGTTTCAACCTGACTATGAAACCCTCTCTTTTTTTCTTTTTTTTTTATGACTGGAAAGTTTGCACGTGTGTATCCAGTGGGTGATTGGTCATCAGCTGCTTCTGCTCCACCAGTACAAGCCGCCATCCCATCTGCCTGTCCAAGCCCCGCCCCCATTCGCTTCATCAGGGGAACCACTGCCACTACCAGGACTCACCAAGATCCTTAGAGCCTTGACTTTCGCTGGCCATCTCGCCCATCCGCACCAGAGCGTCGAAGTAGCCCTTTGCAGCAAATGTGACACCTGGAAACATGGAAGCATTGGGCATCAGATCAAGGGTGCCGAGTTGAGCTGTCTTCTTCAGCTCTGCAACCGTTCCCTGCAGCTCTCCGCTCCCATAGAGAGGCAAGCTTGGGCATGGGAAGTAAAAGAGCGATAGGCGGAAATGGTGACCAGGCAGGAAAGGAAAAAGCTCTATGAAGCAACTGCAGGAAGCAGAAAGCTGCAGAGATTTTTTTTCCCTCAAAGCTTCAATTCCAAACTCACTTTTTATCCAAACTACAAGTTGATTAAAATGTTATTCGTAATTCTTACACACTACAAAATATTTTTTAAAGCAGTGTGTGGATTGGATATCCAGAGATTATAAAAACAATGATGCAGAAATCTCACATTTATGCCGAGTTAAATTAAAAGGGTATAACTAGGTATTGTAGTTTGCTTAAAATTTAGCTAGATGTAAGTTACTAAGCTGACCTTTACTGAAAACAAACTACATTATTAGGAGGAGAATTCATAAACTGGGCTTTAAAATGCCCCACCAGCACCCCTCCACTCTAATTATGTTGTTTACACCTCCTGTCAAAAATCTCTACACCAAAGACTTGAAAGCATTCTTCAGCTGAGATCCTGTCAATCAGCCGTGGTTTCCTGGGTTGCATCATGTCACCTGCAAGGTACGCCAGCTGAGGCAGAGCAGTGAGCCGGACCTTAAAGGGGACAAGCTGGTCTCGGGAAGCAAAGACAGGAAGCGGGTCGGGGGCTCGCCACACAAGGACTGACGGCAGACATGGATGTGGAAGAGGGCCGGGTTCATTACAGAGCTGTCAGCCAGATGAGTGTTTGTGCTCTAAGCTGTCACAGACCGCTCTCTGAATCCCATAGAGGAGAGGAAAATGACAAACCATTCACATGGAAAACAATAGGAATCTATTCTGAGCTCAGTCCAGAGGACACAGCATGAGGTCCACCGCTATGCAAGTCATTGTTCTGGAAATAAAGACACTTTCTGGCTTGGATTTCTAAGATCGACACGACTTTGGCTGTAACTGCCTGCAAGGGTCTAACCTTCCCTTTCTCCATCTCTGATTCTGACCTTGGTTGTACACTTGGTTGTACACTTGTGAGGACATGGAGAGGTTAATCTCATTGAGACCTCAGCTGGGGGAGAAGGGGACCCAAGCGAAACAGATTTAACTGGATGAGAGGCTTTACCCATCAGTCAGTTGTGAAGTGAACAAAAAGACCCAAAGCAATAAGGAGGGTCAGTTTGGGCTGAAGATTAGATATGAGGGCTGACAATGCAAAGGGTGTTAGTGTAAAAGAAAAACAGGATGGAGGTCAAGATGGTTGATACATTATCTAAATGTGTTTGTTCATTTAAGAGAAATAGAAGATTTTTATTTATTTATTTATTTTATTGACAGAGCATTTTAAACTTGGTAATCCATAAAAAGAAAGTTCCTAGTGAACTCATAAAATTACAGAATTTCTTCTTAAGGCAGACTAACTTTGATTTATTGAGCGCTCCTCCAGTTCCCCTTTAGGCACCAGGGACCTTGTTATTTGGAAAAGCCAGCACTCCTGATGTCAACAATGATGTTAATGGCATCACCTGCTGTGGCCTGTGCTTAAGATTGGAGCTCATCTTGTATACAGAAGATTTGGGCTTCGACAGAAAGCAGCATTTGGCTACAAGTGATACATTTTTACCAAGACAAAAGCAGTTTAAAGACGTCTCGTCCATGCGGTCATACATCTTCATAAGTGGAGGTCAGCAAACGGGCACATGCTCACCGTCCTCAGTCATCTTAAAGGTTTTCAGGTTCCAAAAACAAATCCGTCAGTCAGCCGCCCCCTCGTGAATCATGCTGGTTTAAACCCTCCTTTGGGATAAGGGCTGCCACCCTGATTCTAAAAGTAGACTTTTTTTTTCCCAGCGACAATAAAATGATTACCGGGTACCCAGCCCTATTCTGCTGCACCCGAGTCTAAACTCTAGCCCTGCGTTGCTGCCTGGCATTGATGAAGTGCAATCCCCACTCAGGGAGTTTCAGAGTTATTTTTAGCTTTATCTATCAGCCTCCTTTATTGTTCCTGTAGGGATCTGAGTGTTTCCTGCATCTCCTCTGAACACAAAGGAGAGCTCTGCTCCACGCCGTATACTCAGCATGCTCTTGTCTCCTGCTGCAGACAAGTGTTCTCTGAAAACATAAAATTCTTTCCCAGTACTGCAACTGCACTCAAATATCATTAAAACGACAAAACAAAGCAGCAGAATACCCTTCAGTTTGAGTCATTTTGTATGCAAATATCCAATACTTTTCTTCTCCTGGTTTTTATTTTACTCAATCTTGTCCTGGATTTGCTCTCAGCCTGTCCCCATTTCCTTGGCCCCATGGGTGTGGGGGTACCGTTACGTTAGCAATACCCCCCGCTCCATTTCCCATTGGCTTATGCTCCACTTAGCTCCCACAAGACGTCTCGGTTGCTTCGTCTTTCACCTTGAGCCATTGCTGTTTGCGGCATTTGCTCTCTCTCACACACACACACATGACCATGCAAACACATGAGCAAAAGCAACTAGAAGCGATGACGGAGGATGCACAGAAAAAGCAGACATATAGGAAATGAAGTCACGGGACGGCAAGAAAGGAGACGAGACGAGAAACGGTCTGGGAACCCATGAGATTCATCAGACGGAGGATATCAATTCATCTCTAACCAACAAGAAATCTTCAACAGTTCAAGTCTGGATTCAGACTGCAAAACATTACATTGCACAACATCTGTGTCATCATGACTTTACCCCAACTCCAGATGAGTCAGGAGGATCTAAATGAGCACCAGGCATTGGGTCAGCTGGCCCTCAGCCTGGACAGCCAATGAACGAAAGAGATGCCGCCACAGAAAGTAAACAGAGGAGGGTTGGTGTACTCACTGGTCAGCGCCTTCTCGTAGCTCTTCGCCATGGCTATGAAGTTGCGTAGGCACGGGTTGAACTGCTCCATGATGTTCTGCAAAGAGGAGCGGGGACAAACAAAAAGATCTGGTTAGCCCGAGAAGGAGACGATGCAAATCTGACATGAGCTACAGTGACCCAGCAGCACTCTGCCTGTTTTTCTGGGGCACGAACACACAGTCGTCTACAAATCAGCTGAGCCAACCGGCAGGAAGAGCAGCGCAGGAAGGACTCGTTTCAAGAAGCCCAAATCCAGCGAGACTGAATAAAAGACAAAACGAGAGCACAAGTGACAGAGGGATTTTTGTGTCTGTGTGTGAGTATTAGTGTGCGTGTGTGTGTGCATGTGTGTGTGCATGTGCATCACACCTCCCCTGCTGTATCCATTTTAAATAAAACCTGATTTTGGCTGCAGACTCAGAGCTCAGCAGCAGATCTGGACCTGCTGCTGCTTCTCTTCACTTTGGCACAAACCTGAGGTCAAGAGGCTATTTTTGAAACAGGATAAATTCACCAAAAGGACAGACATGACTTTCACCAAAGCTCATCACCCCTCATGAATAGTTGCAGTTCTGATAAAACGTTTTAAACAAACACTAAGATTTTACGGCACATAAAAGTCAGACGTTTTATCGATGTTCAGTGAGGAAGACTTTCAGGAGGTTTTCCAAAGTTTTTTTTTTTTGGATCTGTAACTTCTTTTTCACGCTATTTTCTGTCCTAGAAGAGTATAGCAGAATACAATGCTCAACAAACAATCTGTTATCTTCCTTTCTGCCCCTCTTTTTAAATAAATGCCATAAGAGATGCGTCACCTTTTAGTTTTTCAACGCCCGTCCTCAAGGGCTAATATTCAGCGAGATTTAGATTTGCCGTCGGTGTAACACAGCTCATTTAAATGACTGAATTACCTCTTCAGTGTGTCATCACACTGTGCAGAGGCCTGGTAATGAGCCATTGACTTGATTAAGATGCATTGAGTCAGGGCAACACCTGAAACATGCAGGATAGGGCCCTTGAGGACTGGCTTATGCTTATGACAACACTGCCACAGAGAGCCCAGAGAAACGCTGATCAAGATGGTTTTGAAAGGTTAAAAGAATTTCTGGTTGCTTGGGAACAACACAAAGAAATACAGAGGACTCAAAAATCAAGTCCTGATGTGCACGACGAAGTCAGAAAAGCTAGGAAAATTCTGAGAAGCAGTTTGAACAAGTTGTCCTTATGCATTTAAAGAAACAAACCTCAGAATCTCATCTTTGGTATGTTCTGCCTCTCGCTTCCAGAGCCGACTGTCAGAAAGCACAAACATCACGCACAGAGGCCTGAAGGCTCGTTAAAAACCGAGGAATCCGTCAAAAAGAAAAGTCTAATGAGTCTTACTGTTCATCCATCTCTGACTTCTCTCTGCTTCTGAAACGCCCTTTAACCTCTGCAGCCTTTCCAACAAAGCCAAGCAATTTGAGAAGCTATTTCTCTCCTTGTCAAACTTCACTGTGAGCCTCAAGTTCTTTTACAGAAGCAGCACTGGTTTACAGCAAAGAAAAACACAGGGAATCAGCCATTATCAGAAGAGCTACAGTATTTGGACCTTTAAAACACAGCTACAGAGTTTAAAGATTTGCAAGAGTAGAGTGTATAGTAAAGTTTTGAACCATTATTCCAGTTCAAGCTAGATAAGATTTAAAAACCATCTATACACAGAGGTAAAGAATATTAAAAGTGCCATGTTAGGGTGCATACTCAAAGTGGGTACCAAATACGAAGTAAGAGGACTTTAGTCAGCAACTTTTCAGCCACAAATGCATTTTTGATTTGAAAAAAAGTTAAAGAGAAGACAAAGAACAAAAGGAGGACAGGAAAGAATAACGAAGCAGATGGAGGGAAGGACACATCCGAGGCAGGCGGACATTTGTTCATGGCTGCTCGCAGCTCGGATGCCTGCTAATGCCCGGTGGCTGACGCACAACAGTCACCTTGGCGCACAAACTCCATCAACTCCGAAAAAGGAAGTAAGAAGTAGGACAGTGTGACACTGGAGTACAGAAGAAAAAAAGATAAAAAATCTTAATGGAAGTTCAGTTTGTAACAGTGAAGTAGAGCAGAACATGAAGTGAAACGAACTGAAGCTTCTGTGTAAAGCTGAACACGTGTTCAAAACAAAGGAAAGATCCCCGGGTTTATAGATCTGGTGATTTATAAATGTCCCATCATTTTGAAGTCACAATCACAAAAACAGAGAAAGATGGACAAATAAACGTCTTTTTATTCCCCAGTCCCTCCCTCCCAGCTCTTGTTGCGTGAGGCGTCGGCTGCAGACCAAAGCGACTCTGTGAAAGTGCATCAGCTCCGGTGATCGTCACCCGGATGCACCGTCGCCTGGAGCGCGCAGAGAGAGTCGCTCCGCAAAAGGAAAACAGAAGGTGGAGAGCACCCCAGCGTTCATCGCGTGCTCACAGAAAAAACACCTGGGCTGGGTTTGTTTGTGTTCGTGTCGGTGTGAGTGAGAGACAGGTGAATCATGTGTTCACTGTCAGACACGTCTACCTTTATGAGTCACTTTCTGGGTGATCTGCAAAAATAAAAATAAAAATGTGTTTTCGGGATCCTTTGTCTTTCGGTTGAGCTAAAAACAATAAAAAATTCACCAGGAGAGGATTTCCCACACAGACAATGAATACGAGGCAAACGCTGATGAATGTCTTGATGAACTTATTGAGTGCATGGATAAGCATTTTTCTCATTCATGAACCTGTCTGCAAATGTAAAAACAGATCAAATAAAAATTTTCTGAATAAAGAAAGAAGTTGGCATTTTTTAAGATTTAACTGTTTTATCATTACAGGAGAAATTGGCAGAGAATAATGATTTTCTATCTCATGCATTTCTTTTCTTGGCCACAATGAAAATGTTAAGATACTGACTACATGTGATCAGTCCAAGAACCCCACTTCAAAATATATGAACTAGCTCGTTTGTATTTTGCAAAAGGAAAGCAAAAGTATATTCAGGATATATTAAAAATCCAGAACATTCAATTCTTACTTTTGCCAAACAATAGAACAAAATGGTTGATGGCTTTTCCTTTCTATGCTTAAATTTATTGAAAGAGTCGTAAGTAAACCGACGTTAGCAAACGCACTAAAACTGAATAACTATCTGTCTTACAAAGACTCGCTAAATTGACCATTTTTAAATAAAGTCTTCCTACACACACACATATTAAGATCTCATCAGAAAGCGCTCACATGTGTTTTTTGTTTTTTAAGACTGGGTTTAATGGGTTTACTTCCGCGTCTGGTGCACATTTAATCCTCAATGAGTCAGTTGTTGTTCCGTAAGCAGCAGAGCCGGGAGCTGATTAGCATTTCTCAGAATAAAGGACCACATTTTACAGAGTGGACGGGAAATAAGATGGATTACAGAACAGCTTGCCGTTTTTCAGTCATTAGTTTCAGTCATATGTCCGCAAATGAATCCTACCACTGAAAACACTGGTTTTCTTTTCACGTTGCAGCAGCGAAATGTCGGAGCTCCATTTTTGACCCAAATAATTGAGCCTGAAACAAAATAACAGAATATATATGGTATTGAATTCATTTTCTGAGGTGAAGCAGAGGTTTCCCCAATTTCAAACAGGTCATGAAAACACAGTTTACTACTTTCAGGGTCAACAAGGCAGCATTTTTAATGCTCATGTTCCTAATCAGGAGCAGGTTAAATGCTGCAGTGACAGTAATGATTGAACATTTGGAAAATGTACCATGAAGCGAATAATTACTGACGCTGCCAGAAGAGCCACACCATGCAAATAATTAATTGACTCAAGAGGAAAAAATGGAAGTAACCTTTGAGAGGAGCAATTTGTGATGATAGAAGATTAAATATATTGACATTTAGCATTTTTAAAGGAGGAAACAGACATTTTAAAGACTAAAGGATAAGCTGACAGCATCTGTTTAGCAAGTTTTTATAAGTCAGGCAACAGAAAGCAATTAAACCCATTAAAGGCAAAATGAAAGGTAAGATTTATTTATGAGATCACTTTGTCTTTGTGTTTGTTAAGGGTTTGAAATCACACAGTTTCACACGCGTCCTTACATGATCAATCTCAGCTATTAATCTTCATCAAAGGACGGGTTTATTCTGGAAACACATTGCAGTTGCTCACAAAACAGCTCTGGGCCTTCAATCCGCTTTAAGATCATTCTTGCTCATTCTTGGTCTGCAGAACTCCACAGGTTGATGCGCAGAACATTTTTCATGCTTATTACTTTGCAGTTTGCGTCTGAAAGTGGTTTGTAGTTCTGCCCCTCAACCTTATAAAAAGGTGCCCTCAGTGAATAAAGGGACACTGACAGAAAATGTATATTTTGACCTGAAGAGCAGCTAGTCATACTTTCCCCATAGAGGGGAAGAAGCTGCAGGAAGCCCACCACCTTCAGGACTGCAGCAGCAGTTTGACTAAATAATAAAGTTTCTCAATGACCTTGAAGGTCAAATAGACCAAAGGACTATTTGGTCTGAACGTGGCTTTTAGGCACCATGTCACCATGTCATAAAATAATCACATGGGTGGTAACGCTGAGCTTATTATCCGTCACTATAAAAGGTGATTCATTTCAAGCGTCTCAGTGACCGTGAAGGAGGAGAAACAGGACAAGCCCTCAGCTTCAAGGTTAACAGATCTATCAGAGCGGCATGGAGACATGTCCCAGGAAAGATGTGGACCAGAGCCAGAGGTTATAGAAGCCATTTAAAATATGACAAGAGCAGGATTGAGCAGACATCTCTTTAAAGTGAGTGAAGAGCAAGACTGGAATCACCAATCTAGTTTCACAAACTGAGGTACAAAAGAGTGAAAAAAAAACCTTCTGAAAAAAAGCAATAAAAATATGTAGAAAGTAATACAAGGCATCTTAGAAAGTCTTCAATTCATGTATCTAAAATTAAGACCTTAAAATATCAAATTTGGGTATTTTTGTTTTGTTTTTTATATTAAGTTCAACACGTTAATCGCAGAGCTTAAATTTTGTCTCAGCAGGACAATTTAAT